TTCCTGCAATTGTATGAATAATGACGTTAATTCTGTATTATTAGGAATAAATTCAGCAGTTTCAATATGTACAACAACTCTCTGCATATTGAGAGTCAGTGACTATTTTGAGGGGTTCTGTGAAGTCCATCAGTACCATAAGAATGGCATACAGTTCTGCCTTTTGTACAGAGCTGTATGGACTTTGTACTACTTTACTTAAGTCTCCTGATTTATATCCTGCTTTCCCTGATTTATTTGCATCAGTATAGAATGTGAGGACTCCAGAAATTGGCTTTTGTCGTACAATGTGAGGAAGGACCCATTCAGTCTTCTTTATGATTTCCATTCTCTTGCTTTTGGGATAGTGGTTGTTAATATCTCCCAAAAAGTTACTGCAGGCTCTCTGCCAGTATTCATTATCTTTCCATAGTGATGAAATTTCCTCATTAGTTAAAGGTACTACAATTTCTGCTGAGTCCATTCCTGTCAACTGGCAAAGTCTTGGTTTACCTTTTTGAATCAAATCAGAGATCTTTTCTATATAAGTCTTTAATTTTTTATTTGGTTTACGTGGTAGGAATATCCATTCCAATATAATATCTTCCCTCTGCATCAAAATACCTGTTGGGGAATGTCTGGAGGGGAATATTATAAGAATGCATTTAAGTTCTGGATCCACACGATCCACATGTGCTTCTCGAATTGTCTTTTCTACTAGAGCCAATTCCCTCTCAGCTTCGGCTGATAATTCTCTTGGACTGTGTAATTCTTTGTCCCCTTCTAGAGTATTAGCCAAATTTTGTAGTCCATCTTTGGGTATTCCCATGATACTCAGTAAGTTGGAAATGCTTCCTAACAACTTTTGAAAATCATTGAGTCTTCAATTGATCTCTCCTTAGTTGTACCTTTTGGGGTCTAATTTTTTTGTAGCTCTGTCTTATATCCTAAGTAATTAATAGAATCTCCTCTTTGTATTTTTTCAGGAGCAATTTGCAGTCCCCAGTGAGGCAAAACTTTTTTTACTTCTTCAAACATGTTTTCTAATGTATCTAACTTTGGATCAGCTAATAGGATATCATCCATTTAGTGATAAATTATGGATTATGGAAACTACATGAATTATCTCCAATGGTTTCTGCACAAAGTATTGGCACAAAGTAGGGCTGTTTAACATTCCCTGTGGGAGGACCTTCCATTGATATCTCTTGACTGGCTGAGAATTGTTATAATTAGGTACTGTGAAGGCAAATTTTTCTTTATCATTTTCTTGTAAGGGTATGGTAAAGAAACAGTCTTTTATATCAATAACTGTTATAGGCCATTCTTTGGGTAGCAGAGAGGGCAAGGGCATCCCAGTCTGTAAGGAAGCCTATTGGCTGAATTACTTTATTAATAGCTCTCAGAACTGTCAACATTCTCCAATTACCAGACTTTTTTTCAAATAACAAACACAGGAGAATTCCAAGGGCTGGTAGATTCTTCAATGTGTTAAGCATTTAACTGCTCTTGAACCAGCTGTTCTAAAGCTTGTAGCTTCTCTTTTGTCAAAGGCCATTGTCCAACCCAGACAGGTTTATTAGTTAGCCATTTTAAAGGTAAGGCAGTTGGTACTTCTGAGAGTTCAACAGCAGTCGTGTTCTGTTTGTGAACAGCCTGAATGGTTGGTGACTGATTTTTATAGCATGTCATGATATTTTCCCTAGAAACATGCATTGGTCTGTATTCCTTTTCTGAAAGTGTAGGAATTTTAATCTGGGTATTCCACTGTTGTAACAGATCTCGGCCCCAAAGATTTACTGCTACATTTGCTACATATGGCTTCAGCCTTCCTCTCTGTCCTACTGGCCCTGTGCATTCAACCTATCTCGAACTCTGTTTTATCTGAGATAGGGTGCCAATCCCTAAAAGTTGGACATCTACCTCTTGAAGAGGCCAATTCCGATGCCATGATTTTGGTGTAATTATACTCACATCTGCACCTGTGTCTACCAGGCCCTCCATAACCAGGCCATTAATTCGAATTCTAAGCTTTGGTCTTTGTTCATTTATGGAAGTCTGCCAAAATATTTGTTTTATAGTGTTCTTTGTAAACTGTGATCCATCTATCAGAGCTGTGTTATCATCCATTGCAGTATCGGTTTTTACATTAGGCATTGGTTTATTCAGTTGTCCTGGAGAGGAATTTCTTCCACAGTGGCTGGGAATGTTCGTACTACGTTTGATTTGGTGGCCTGCAAGAGGCCCCCTGAGGGGTTTCCTGCCAGTAAAGGGTTGCCTCAGATATCTTTTTTTTTTTTTTTTTTTTTTTTTTTTTTTTTTTTGGTTTTTCGAGACAGGGTTTCTCTGTGTAGCTTTGCGCCTTTCCTGGAACTCGCTTTGGAGACCAGGCTGGCCTCGAACTCACAGAGATCCACCTGCCTCTGCCTCCCGGAGTGCTGGGATTAAAGGCGTGTGCCACCACCACCCGGCTTCATATATCTATTTTTGATCAGCACTCACTGGTCCATTGTCAGCCTTTGCCACACCTTCTACATAATCCAGGAGGTGGTTGGGATTTCCTGTTTAGGCTATTCCTAAAAGGAGTATTACTTCTAGGAGTACCCCACGTACAGTTTTTACGTATATGACCTGGTGTACCACATTTAAAACATTTGGTAACACGGGGCCTTCTTTCACCTCTGGGATTTGTCTCTCCTATCCAAGCCTCATTACTGTAGTTAAGAGACTCAACACCATTAGTATTCTGAATCCATTCTTCCAAAGGAGTTGATCTGATCTTTAATGGTGTAAGTATTCTTCTTCATTCTGCATTAGCATTGTCAAATGCCAAGGACTCAGTTAATACTTTTCTTAATTCTTTATCTGATACAGCTTTTGTTATAGCTGTGTTCAGCCTTTGTAAAAATTCGGTGAAGGGTTCGCGCAGTCCCTGAAATATCTTTGTGTCTACCTCAGTTGGTTTTCCAGGTTCTGGAATTTTTTCCCAAGCATTTAGAGCTGCTGTATGGCATAGGGATATTGTATGCTCATCATAAGTGGCTTGTACATTCCTGTCAACAAAACATCCCTCACCAAGTATTTGATCTTGGGAGATCACAAAACCTCTGTGTTTACATTGTTGTTCTAAATTTTTCACCTCTTCTCTCAACCAGTTTTTCCACTGTAGTTGCTGGCTATATTCTAGAACAGCTGAAATTAACTGATGCCAGTCATCTGGGATTATTCTATGTGAGGTAGACCATGAATTTAACATCTGTCTTATGTATGTGGAGTGTATCCCATACGTAACTACTGCTTCCTTTATATTTTTAAATTCCCTTGTTGAAACTGGTTGTGATGTATATGTTTTATATGGCTCAGGGTGTGTGTCATCATGTGTGCCTGGCTCTGCATTGGAAGACACCCCATGGGCATTGTCTGCCACAGTCATGGAGGCTGGAGGGCACAGCTTCTGAGATTTAAGATTTAGGACTTGTTTGGGACCTTTTTTTCCTTTTCTATTTTTCCCTTTTGGAATGAGAATGTCATATGCTGGTCCTACTGTAGTATTTTGAAAAGTATGTTTTATGTTATTGGTTCACAGTTGGAGAATATTTTGTCTTGAGATAAATTGTACATTGAATCTGCCTCTGATGTAGATGGTGTTAGATGACACTCTGGACTTCAGAGTTGTTGTTGCGATGAGTTAAGATTAGGGGTGGAATGAATGTATTTTGCATGTGAGAACATGAATTTTGGGAACCAGAAGCAGAATGCTATGTTCTAAATACTTGTCTTTCCAAGATTCATATGTGAAAATCTAATCCCCAGTATGATGGTATTTGGTGATAGGGCCTTAAGGAAACATTTAGGTTGTGAGAGCTAGTACCTCATGAATGAGATTAGTGCCTTTATCCATTAATACCACTCCCTACAGCTATCTAGACCCTTCTATGTGAGGACATGGTAAGAAGGCAACATTTATGAACCAAAAAATAGGCCCTCACTAGACAAAGAATCTGTCACTGCTTCAGTCTTGGCCTTCTCAGGCTCCAGAATGGTGATCAGTGAATTCTGTTTAAAGGCCACATAGCCTATGGATTTTCTTAAGACAATGCAAATGTCTCTTAGCCTTCTGTGGTATATGACAATCCTTTTGTTCTTCCTTGTTTTTAATGGACTTGGCAATTTTGAAAAATCCTAGACATTTGCTAAATAGATCTTCCATTACAGTTTGATTGATGTTTTCTCATGATTAGACTAAAGATTTAATTTGAGGAAAGGATATTGCAGATGAAATTCACCCTTAAATCAAACAGGGAAAATTGTACTCACAAGTCATCATTGTGATGTCAACCTTGATCAGGTGGTATGGCTGCTTTTCTCACTTCTTAGGCTGTATTCTTTGAAATCTAGCCACCAAGTCCAGCCAATACTTGGGGATTTGGGAGTGAAAGTTAAGCTTTCCCTTCATTGGTGAGAGGTGTCTACATGTTCTATGGAATTCTTCATAAACAAAACTGGCCTTTCTTCCTACATATTTGTTATTCAATCATTCATTTGCTATTTTTAAACATGAATTCTCAGTAATCTTTATTACACACACACACACACACACACACACACACACACACACACACACACACACACACACCCTTTAGGACTTCTGGTTCCACCATTGAAATATAAACCCCTTGTGGCAAGACTTTGTTTCATTTTTATCTTTGTGTCCTCTGGGCATTTAGTACAGTTTTATCGTAATTGTCAAATTAAATATAAATAAATGAAAGTCTGTTAATTTCAACTAAAAACTACTGTTTCCTCAGTTAAATTACATAATGGTATTATAAATTAAAAGTAGATTTTGGAATAAATAATAAGAAACATGTTTGATTACTTTTTACTATGTATCTATCAGAATGAGGAATACTGTGGAAATGGGTTATTAACATGTTAGATCACTGTATTTGTAATTGTCTAATTACTTAAATATTCCTTGCCAAAGATATGAGCTGTTTTTTCTTTTTTCCCCCCATTAGTTCACGCGAACAGAGTGAGGCTCCCTTTCCTACATCCTCTGCAAAGGTATTATCTGATGCGGTCACTCAGATAACAACAGAAAGCCCAGGAAAGACCACGTTTTCATCTGAAATTTTTATTAATGTTGATAATCATGGACAGGAAGTTCTAGGCCCCAAGGCCCAAAAGCCACCCAAGTTTGCATCATCATCCTCGGTGCAGCAAATCACGGCTTCTCATGGCAAAGATGGTAAGAGAATGTAACTGAGTTTTACATCATTAACCCACTGTTGTGTGTAATTATCTTTCCAATGTTACTGTCTTAACATTAAACCTAATTTGAATGTAAACATTATGCTACAAAATTACTACATCCAGTTTTTGTTTGCATACCTATGAAAAGAATAGGATTTTCATCTTAATTTTGAAGGAGTTAACAAGAGTATGTTACAATTCATGCTGCTTATGTCTGGCTGTCTTTTGTCCCATGATTTTTGTAAAAATAGGGTTAGTATGTAAGAACTGTTTTTAAGGCAGGCAGATGAATTACTGGCATTTGGCTCATAGTAATGTGACATATGAAACTTTAATAGTGCACAGTAATGGTGTATTTCTTGCTTATGAAATAACCACTTGTTACTCAGGTTGACCATTAATCCTACTGTATGGAAATGTGACCATAAATAAGCACACAGGCATGCACCCCCACACGGTAAACATGAACACATACATACACATATGAAAAGAGAAAAAATTACATGGATGTTAGTGGATGTAGCTCAATGATAGTGTGTATGCATACCTAACATGCACCAGGTCCTAGACCAGTCTGTAGCACTACCAAATATATAGAAATTCACACATACTCTCACTCACAGTTATGTATTATTTTAGTTTAAAATAATAAAAATTTGTCTTTATGTCTCAGGCTTATGAGCCAGTTGGAGTTTGGCAGAGTTTGGCTCCAGGTGGCAAAAGTAGTTTAGGTGTGCCCCCAAGTGCCTGTTTCTGACATTCAGGCTATGGGCAATTGCTGTCTTGCCTGGAATATGCTGTTTTCATAATGGTGGCAGAAACACAAGAAGAGAGACCCAACTGTGAAAAAAATTTAAACCTATATTTATATCAGTTCTCTGAATAGGATAAAATTAATACTCTATTATTATAAAATAGAAGAACTGAATTCTAACTTTTTATTTATTTTATGATAATGAATATGTAAGCAGAGGAAAAACATGAATAGAATATACATTAAACTGATCTTTAAATAGTCAGACCTTGTCTTTTTTACTTCGGTATATTTTCTTAATATTCAAAGTCATACTTATTTAGTAGAAGCTTTATTTGAAACTGTTATATGAAAAGTGAAGTAGACTTATTTTCTTATGTCTCTTGGACTTTTGTTTAGTATAAGAGAAACTGTTTTATAGTTAGAGTCATCTACTTGTGGAATAGATTGCTGAAAATGCACTTACCATCCTGGTTAAGCTGCTGCTGGTTTGATGTCCTTTCTGTTCCTGATCCTTCACAGTATGTGTCACACCACTTGTAATTTATTAAAATACGAGATAATTTCATTGCATAGCTTAATTAAATATGCCGTGTATTTCCCACGTTGAAAGTAAAGGTGAATTTATGTTTAGGTCATTCATGTATTCCTAGAAATGTGAGCACTGCCTGGCAGGTGGAAAGTACTTGGCATGTAGAGTCGGGGCTGCTTTCTTTCTAACAGTTCTGATCTTTACCTCCTCAGCCCAGCCTGCGTTGTTGCCATATAAGCCATCTGGTAGTCCGAAGATGTACTATGTTCCACAATTAAAAGCAGTTCCTTCATTTCTGGAGTCCAAATCAGATACCACTGTTGAGAGCTCACATTCAGGTATTATGCAAAAATTATTTAAGATTTTATTTTTAGAAATATTTTGTATTAGCTGGTTGATTGTGAAATTTTTAGTGTAATATGGAGGCTTTCTAGCCTTAACCTCTGATGGATTCTAATAAGTGAGTTATTTGAGATTTTGTGTGAGAAAAAAGGGAAGACTAAAATTGAGTTGACAGCTGCCTGGGTTGGTGTTAAAGCTCCTTTAGAATAAGCACAGAGCCCAAAGACGTGAAGACTCACTGGTTTCTATTGTTTAAGGCAGTCTTCATACAGGCACTAGCCCACTCCCATGGAAATTGAGTAGAAACTTGACTGGCCGTACACAGTCAATTGTAGTGCTTCTGGCACACCTGAAGCTCTTGGCCCATTGTGTCCTGCAAACGGTACAGGGTAAAGGACTGAAGTAGCAGGGACATGTGCTGCTTTCCTTTAGAGAGACACGTGAATTAGAGTAGGGACCTTGGTATGAAAAAATACTTTACCCAGAAAAACAACTTTGTGTAACAATCAATAAAGACACCTTTGTATAGCAGTTCCAGGTTTGGTTCATCAGAGGCTGGACCTTCCTGCTGCCACACAGGCCTTAAAATTTCATCTTGGAGTGACTTTTTCCTCTATTGACTCATGCAACACAGAACACCCTGACATTAGACAAATCATTCCAAGTCAAAGCTTATGAATTACTCCATGATTTAAAAATGTCTTCACTGATGCTACACTTCATGTACAGTAAAATTTATTATGTTCTTGGGATTGGGATTCCATATGCTGCCGTTATGTTTAAATAGTACTCTTCTTAATGTGTCTGCCGTCCAGCCTGAGCGCAGTGTGTACTGTTCCTATGCATGCCGTGTGTGTGTATGTGTGTGTGTGTGTGTGTGTGTGTGTGTGTGTGTGTGTGTGTTAGCATAGTATCTCACGGGTCTTTTTGCCTTCGTATCACACCAGAAGCCGCCTGCTGTCATTTTCCTTCTTCGGAAGCTTTCCTGAGCTAGTGGTGGTCTCCTGAACTAAGCACCATTCCCTTTTGTGTCATGTCTTACATCATTTTCTTCCTTGCCTGGTAATTTTGGCGTTTATTCTACATGTCTCTGAGTTTCAGTTTGACTGAGAACCTTCTAATTAGCCTGCAGCATCCTTGTCATAGTGCTCTTTTCATAGAAGTGGTCTAAGGGAAGAAAAAGTCTTTATTGACTTTAAGACTGTTTTAGTGTTAATTGTAATATTTTCTCATTTTCCATAGGGTCCAATGATGCGATTGCCCCAGATTTTCCACCTCAAGTGCTAGGCTCAAGAGATGATGACCTCTCAACCACTGTGAACATTAAGCATACAGAAGGGATCTATAGTAAGAGGGCCGTATCCAAGGGGAAAAAACCCCCTCGGAAAGATGATGCAGGTAACGAGGGACTACCTTGCCTGTTTTACAACCTGTTTCCTGAACCTTTTTATTTGAAGTGAGAATATTGTTGTCTTTATCCATTTTCTGGTTCGTTATGGAAACTCTGTCCTTCCCACTACATTAAGTATACACAGGAAAGTATAATGTTAGAATATTTAAAGTGCTTCAGAGAGATTGGAAAACTTTAAACTTCATTTTCACCATAAATAAAATATATTATAGCTGGTGAAATGAAACACTAAATCAAGCTTATTTTGAATACTAAATATCAGAAAATCTTGATTAAAATTCTTATGAATTTATCTGTGTCACATGTTGCAGTGTGGCATTTCTGGCAGGATTTGACAAGGAGTCAAGAGTTCACATGTTGTTTTGAAATTTTATTTTGCTACTAACATGTGAAAATTCAATTTTTGGGCTCGTTAGGGGAGAAAAAAATGAGAATGTCTGGTTGCCCATAGCTGACATTCTCTGTGACAGTAGTCACCTTAGCTGAGGCCTGGCTGTTCCTCCAGACAGGACATCCATTCCTATGTTTGCGTCAGTCCCCAGGCCTCTCGGGTCTTCTTGCTTCATTCAGACATACTTGGTCTCTCTGGTCAGACTGTTGAGTTTTCAACTTTTTCTCTAGATAGAGGACAGCTATTTTCTAAAAATACAATATATTTAAAATTACAGGATTATCACTAGCTCCAGCAAGATCCTGTTTCAAAAAAAACTAAACCAAAACATAGAAACATAGATTAATAGGTAAGTAGATGGACAGACAGATAGATCTTCTATAAGAAAATGGAAGAGTATGCCTTCCTAATTTTAGAAAAGGAAAAATCTCATTAAACGGGATTCCTCTCCCAAAAACAAAACATAAAGTAAAACCAGCAACCGTATGCAGAACTGTGGTCAAATAAGGAACGTTAAAGTGAAAAAAAAATTTTTATAGAATGTGAACAGTAAATAAAGGCAAATCACAGAGTGGAAGTAAAAATTACAATGTGCACATTCCACAAAAGATATTCTGAATGTAAAAAGAAATAGTGTGAAGAAGATATTCAGTTCAGTTGAAATTGGGCAAAAGAATTGGGGACCATTATTCTATAAAAGAGACTATGTAATACCCAATAGTTGCATATAAAATATCATTGTTGATAATCTGGAGATACAAATTAAAGCCATAGTAGCTTTCTGTACTCATCAGAATGGCTGAAATGAAAAACACTGTGCTGTGGAGAATAAGAATAAGTGAGAGTGTAAATTAGTATCCTGACTCTGTGTATGTCTGTTGCTGAGTTTTGAATCTAGGGCCTTACATAGGTTAAACATGCACTCTACCACTGAGCTATACTCTTAGCCCCACACATATTCTTCAGGCAGTATTTGTAATAGTTCCAAACTAGAAACCACTCAAGTAGCCAACATTTGTTTAATAAAATAGATAACTTGTAGTACTAACACTATTGAATACTTACTGGCCTGGAGAAAAGGGGTAAGGATATGTAACAACACATAATGAACTTTACAAACATAGTGTGAGTGAACACACAAAGTTCAGACATTCCTGATGACTTTCTTGTATTTAAAATCAGCTATTATATACTCTGGTTTCTCCTCAGTTTGTGTAAATCAAGTGTTGGAGAAAGTGGGAAAGGAATGAGGGGGCTGTGTAATAAGCTTCTATTCAGATTTTATTTCTTGACCTGAATAAGGTTATACACATATTGTTTTATATATGCAAATGTTTTCTAGGACAGTTAAAATCTTTTCTTAAAAGATGTGCAAAAGAGCCGGGCGGTGGTGGCGCACGCCTTTAATCCCAGCACTTGGGAGGCAGAGGCAGGTGGATCTCTGTGAGTTCGAGGCCAGCCTGGGCTACCAAGTGAGACCCAGGAAAGGCGCAAAGCTACACAGAGAAACCCTGTCTCGAAAAACCAAAAAAAACAACAACAAAAAAAAAACAAAAACAAAACAAACAAACAAACAAAAAAAGATGTGCAAAAGATAAGGTTATTAGAAATGAGCCTAAAGTACATGCAAGTTTCTAAAATTACATTGAAATTTATTTCTCTATGTATTTATTTATTTATTTATCTTTGGTTTTTTTGTTTTTGTTTTTGTTTTTGTTTTTTTTGTTTTTCGAGACAGGGTTTCTCTGTGTAGCTTTGCGCCTTTCCTGGGACTCACTTGGTAGCCCAGGCTGGCCTCCCGAGTGCTAGGATTAAAGGCGTGCGCCACCACCGCCCGGCTTATCTTTGGTTTTTTGAGAGAAGGTTTCTCTGTAGTTTTGGTGCCTGTCCTGGAGCTCGCTCTGTAGACCAGGCTGGCCTTGAACTCACAGAGATCCGCCTGGCTCTGCCTCCCAAGTGCTAGCATTAAAGGCCTGCACCACCACCATCCGGCGCTACATTGAAATTATTAAGGAAGTCTTATATAATTAAAGAATATAATAATAATAATAATAATAATAATAATAATAATAATAATAAAGTTTTTAATTGTCATTAATCTCTGGGCTCATAAGAGAGCTTGCTGTACCAGCATCCAAACTTTTATATGTAGCTTACTAAAATTATTTGTAAAAGATTAAAAAGAGAAGTGTAGGAGGCAGTCACATAGGTGAGACTTCAGGGGTGTGGCGTCTGACATTTCTAGGAGACAGAATCTCACAACAAACTTTCTGTTCCTCTGGCTCTTGAAATCCTTCTACCAACTCTTCTGCAGTGGTCCCTGAGTCTTAGGTGCAGGACTGGAGTTACAGATGGGTCCGTTGTGACTGAGCTGCCCAACTCTGCATTTTGATCAGTTGTGGTTTTCTGTAATGGTCTCTGTCTGCTAGAAAGTTTCCATTATGAGGGGTGAGAACTGCACTTACCTCTGTGTTTAATCAGACAGTAATAATAGACACACTAGCATGGAAGGGAAGCTTAGGAGGCCTCAACCCTAGAAAAAGAACTACAGGCAACTAAGGAATGTTGAGAGCTGGAGACATAGTCTTCCCTAGGGAAGAGCGCACCAATTGGTTATCCAATACCAAATGGTCAGCTCTGAAAACATATATATACAAGTAACATAAGAACAATCAATTTGTATTTATATACTTAGGAATACACACACAGACACACCACCATCACTACCCCCAACTAAAAAGAGGCCATGCATTTGAAAAAGAGCAAGGGGTACAGGAAAGGGTTTGAAGAGAGGGAAAGGGAAGGGGGAAATGCTATATTATAATCTCAAAAAATAAATTATTTTATAAAAATAAAGTGTAGCATAATGTGATCCAGAAACAAACTTAAGAATGTGGAAACTTAAAAAGAGAGATGATGTGCCAATCATGAACTTTGAGGATGTACATGAGTAATGCTTAGAAAATTGATAACATATGTAAGATAAATCAGATAAATCCTATCTGCACACTGAACAAAAAAAATGTATAATGTATGATAGTTATATGTGATCAAAAAGAAAAATTTATAATTTACATACCCTTATGACTCTGAAATAGTTCAGAATTTCATCCTTTCTTTGAGATAAGATGTCTTAATTAAGGTTTCTATTGTTGTGACTAGACACCATGACCATGGCAACTCTTACAAAAGAAAACATGTAATTGGGGCTGGCTTACAGTTTCAGAGGTCTAGTCCATTGTCTTCATGGTAGTGTGTAGGCAGACATGGTGTGGGTGAAGGAGCTGAGAGTTCTACATCTTGATTCCCAAGCAGCAGAAGCAGCTGTGTGCCACACTGAGTGTAGCTTGAGCATAGTATACCTCAAAGCCCACCCCTACTTCCTCCAGCGACACCACACCCACTCCAGTAAAGACACACCTCCTAACAGTGTCACTCCCTATAGGGGCCATTTTCTTTCAAACCACCACACAGGGTTTTATATATCTTAGGCTGACTTTGAACTTGTTATTTAGCTAAGCAAAACCTCTGCTTTCTGATTTGCCTTGAACTCCACCACCTCCATGTAGGCATCACGGGCATGTGCCACCATTCTCAGGTTTTGTGGTACTGGGAATCAAGTCCAAGAGTTAATGTGTGCATACTGCTAGGTAAGCACTCCAGCACCTAAACTACATCTCCAGTCCCCAGTCTAGGACTGACATGAAATATAGATACAAGGTGGGGAAATGAAGTTATTAACATGAAAAACTTGGCATATAAAAGATATTATAAGCAACCAAAAAAAAAAAAAAAAAAGGCTAGGCGGTGGTGGCACCTGCCTTTAATCCCAGCACTCAGGAGGCAGAGGGAGGAGGATCTCTGTGAGTTCGAGGCCAGCCTGGTCTACAGAGTGAGATCCAGGAAAGGCACAAAGCTACACAGAGAAACCCTGTCTTGAAAAACCAAAAAAAAAGAAAAAGAAAAAGAAAAGATATTATAAGCTATTCAAAGACATAGATTAAAAAAGATGTTTGCAACTTGTAAAGTCAATGAGAAATGTTAAAGGAATGCTTACTCTACTACTTTTCAGCATAAAAATAAACAGAAATAACCATATGTTGATCAGTAGATGAGTTTATGGGTTAAGACAAAAGAATACTGCATATATTGACTGTTAGACTCACATGTTAATATGGCTAAATTTCAGACATCAAATGAAAAGGCATGCTTTTAAAGATAATATACAGCATTGTATCTAATATATTTTAGACATTTAAGATAAGATTGTAAATTATGAGTATAGATTGTTAAAATTATTAATGTTTCTTATTAATGCAACATGCTAAAAAGATTGAGAGAAATCTAAGTCCAGTATAAAGAGTGCTACTAAGAGGGGATAGATTGCATTGGGGAAACATGTCTGTAATGTTTTATTTCTTAAGCCAAGTTGTTAATACCTTGTTAGGCTCCTAGTGTGTCTAAAATATTAAAAATGCTAGAGAATTAGGTGAAAAAATTTAGAATTGAAGTAATAGCAATAAGGAAAAAAATAATTGATTTGAAAGAAAAGAGATGCTGGGTAAGTAAAGCCGAAGCTGATTCTTTGTTGTGTGTTTCATTGTTTGTTAACATTGCTCTGGTTTCTTTCTTGAGAAATATGGATAGTTAGAGGTAAGAGAGGACATATGACCAAGGAGGGAAAAAGAGAACATAAAGTATCAGACAAGCTTAAAAGTTATAACTACATGAGATTTAGAGGATGCTATATGTAAAAATCTAGATTTTTATAAGTATTTCTTGACTATATGATGTATTAATTAGCTTCACAGTTGATAAAAACTTTGAAAAGGCCAGAGAGCCCCAAGAAATTATTTAAACCTACACTTTTACTTTGAAAAACTTAATTGATTTGAAAGAAAAGAGATTGTGGTTTCATGAGACTGTTAACAGATTTTAAAGTGTTACTTTACCTAAACTCATGTGCATTGAAAGATGTGGCAAACTTTCTACTTCATATTACAGTTTTCCAAACCAGAGCCCAAGAGGTCTTTTTCCTCTCATTTGTAAAGGGCTTGGGGGTGGCTGTGTATTAGGGAGGGGCAGGAAGGTTGCTTGTCTTTTGTTTATTATCCTCTCCTTCTCTCTGTGATCAATGATGTCCTTATCCAGAGGCCCCAGTTCAAGTGCCCGTCACTGGGGATCAGAATGTCTCGGACAAAATACAGAAAGCGTTCATCAGTAAACAGGTTGTGACCAAGATGACAGGGCCTGAAGAAAAAGGTTCCCTGTGGGACACTGCAGGTAGCTGAACTGAATGGTTTGGGCTCCGATTTCCTCTGTTCTCCTATGAAGACTGTTGCTTGAAAATAACAAGCAGCAATGTGCTCTCCAGTCTCTCTCTGCTGTGTACAGGTCTCCACTCAGCTTGCTCATGTGAAGCAGCTAAAAGGTTCTAGCTACAGTTTTGTTTGACTTTAGTATGGATAAAATTGACATTTTAAAAATTCTTTAAGATATTTATGTAGAACTTTTGACTATGTGATATTACAAAGTAATCTTATTGCCAGAAATTGACTTACCAGGGGCCTTTTCTTTTTTTCAGTAATTTATTTCACTGTCACAAGATACTCTCCACATGAAATATATATATATATAAGGCTTGAGAAAAGACTTTTTGTTGTTGTTGTTTTATTACCATAATCTGGACAATTTATTTTTTAGGACTGTCTAGAACTTTTTCCTTCTTTATATTCTTGTTTTTGTCTTTTCTTTATTGTTTATAGAATTAATCCTCCATCTGATAGAACTGTTACATTTTCCCCTAATTTATGTCAATCATTCCATACGATTCATTTTGAATACAAACTTTCTTCCTCTTATTCTTCCCTCCTTTCTTACTTTGCATGTAGTTTCCAAGTCATTATTATGAAGCTCTTACCATGTTTAAATTATGCTCATAAGATCCTGTTTTACTGAATTTTTATAGCTGCTTTTAATTTTTTTATCCTTTCGAATATTTTAAAAATGAATAGCAGTGATACCAGTTGTTGAATGTATTAAATATGCTATACATTTTAACTGAGTTAAAGTAGTCTCTCACATAGATTACATAATATTTTTTATAAAGATAGTCTCCTACCTTTGTTGTACAAAAACTGTTTACTCTGTAGATATTCAACTCATTTACTTTGGAAGTTATTTTACTTCAATAGGATTATGCTGAAATTGCCTGCAGTAGCATGCTTAATTTAGTATTAGCTTTGGTTCTAAGAGATAAAAACCCAAAATGTAACAGGGTTTAAAGAGGACAAGAAAACATTTCTTATAAAATCCAGAGCTCAGGGGCAATGCTCTGTGTTCCTCTGTTGTTGCATTTCTGGCCTTCATTCTCAAGCTGTACCATCAGCTGGCATTCCACCCAGCACGAAGAAAGGAAAAGAGAAAAGCTTCTTCTTCCTTAGGGGAGCTTCTTAGAAGTGACACTCTCCTTCCATCCTAGAGGCCAGCCTAAGTCATGTGGTCACATCAAGTTGCATTGACAAGGAGGCTGAGCCTTTATTCTGGGAACAAACATGCTCAGCTATTGTAGAGGAAAAAGAAAATGTGTATTAGAGGACAGCTGATATTTATGCCACAGTCAGGACCTCGAGATATTTTAGAGCATAAAGCACTTTTCTTTTTACATGCAGTTTTTCCTAAGACTTTAGATTTGTAGTCTTGGAAACACTCCAAAATTTGACCACTTTTTTACTCTTGCTAAATGAACGTTCCTGAAACCATTTTGATTATGTTAGTCTCCTGATACACTTTAGTCCTCATTGTCCTTGGGAATAAAACCCAGCTCTTTTAGTAGTCTTCTAGAATGTTAGGACCAGCTCCCAAATAACTTCACCTGCTCTGGTTTTCCCCTCTTCTCAAATCTGTAGATGTTTGGTGGCTTTCCTATTCCACTCTGGGTTATGGGGCTCCTTTGCTTTCAGTGACTTGATTTCCACTTCTGAATGTTTCCTATCTTCAGAGACCCAAGTCAGTTGTCTCAAGTTCTCCTATGGTACTGCTTGCTAGAATTACTTTTTTCTTTGTTTGGTTACTTAATGCCTCTTCATCTGTCTCTCTCTTATGGTGATTCTTTTTTAAAAAAACTTTTAAAATAGATAATACATTTTAATTGGTTTTTATTTTATGTGTATGGGTGTTTTGCCTGTATGTATGTGTGTGCGCCATTTGAATTCCTGGTGCCATGGAGATCAGAAGAGTATCGCCTTGAACTGGAGTTACACACACATGATTGCAAGCCACCATGTGGTCTGGAATCTGAGCCCAGGTCCTCTGCAAGAGCAACATGTACTTTTAACTGCTGAGCCATCTCTCCAGCACCTTATTGTGATTCTGTAGCTCTCTATGACATGTTTGAATATATGTGATTTTTAACTCCAATTTACATTTTTCTAAACATTGTGGTATAGATATTTATGTTTTGCAGTGTCACCAATGATGGCTTTCATATATGAGATGGTTAGAAGCTTTTTTGGGTTAACTTCTTGTATGTATTAATGTGTTCATTTTGTTCTCCTAGGTTACAGTAGTACCACTGTACAAGATGGAAGAACTGAAAACCTGCCAGGCACTAAATCCATTGAACAGAAGGAAGAGATCTGTGTTGAGAGGACCATCCCTCAGGAACGCTGCCCAGAGAAAGAAGGATCCTTAGAGATAGACATTGCAGGTAATGCAGTATATGTCAGTCAGTGTGTGTGTCTGAGTGCTAGTGTCTCTGTTTCTGGTCCATTGTGATGAAAATAAGATGCTTTTCTATTTTACTTATCAATATCATTTCAATATTGCTTTGTCAGCATGGCTATATATATGGATTTGTAAAATAAATGTTAATTCTAGGGAAATATATATAGAAGCAGTATTACAAGTAAATACATTCAGCCTTCCATACCCAATTCAACCAACTCCATGCAGAAAACATTTGAGAAAGAAGTTTTCTTCGTTGACCTAGTATGGTCTTCTTCTTCTTCTTTTTTTTTTTTTTTAAATCATTACTCTTCACAGACAGCACAGGTTAATAACCATTGACCTTAGCATTTACCTTGTTTCTGGTGTTAAAAGTGATATAGTGACAATTTAAAGAATAGAAGTACTGATATACATCCATGTACATAGATATATGCAAGCCTCTTCCTATTTTATGTAAAGCACTTGGCATCTACAGATTTTGGTATCTGTGAGAAGTCCAGGAACTAATTCCACCAGACACTGAGAAATGGTGTTCTTAGAAGTACAGTATCATGTCTTAGTAATGAAACATGGAAACCTGAAGTTACCCTAGAGTACTGAGAAGGATAACATCAATATATAATAGTAAAAAGCCAAATTAAATGACTTTGTTTGTATTTGACCCTGATATTATGACAAGAGCATACAGAACACAAACCATTATTGTTCAGCTGTCAATTTTTACCTGTTAGATGAGTTTCCATGTAAGAAAAAGGAGCAAGGATTCAGTCTACTAACTCAGTATGCTGAAAAGAGTTTCCAATAACTACTCACATACAGAATGTATAAGATAATTTTTTCCAAGGGTACAAGTCCTAGGAAAGGATGATAGTATAGAAAAACTGGATAACCACATTAGAAGAATGAAGTCAAATCATTACTTTACATAAAAATTACATCAAAAAAGATTAGACACAAACAGAAGACCTGAGCTCCTAAAACCAATTGAAGACATAAGAGTAAAGCTTCAGGAAACTGTATTTTGGTAATCACTTTTTTAATATGACAAATGAAACTCGGTTAAATTGAAAAACTTGTACACCTGGAAGCAAGCAAGAATGTAAATTGACTATCATCAGAATTGGGAAAATCAATTCATCTGTCAAGAGTTACACCTAGAATTTATAAGGAGCATGTGTACCTTGAAAACAAAAAAACAAACCTGACTTAAAAATGAACAAGGAGTTAAACATATAGTTCTCCAAAGAAAATATAGATTTGATCCAAGAGAATATGAAATGACACTCAACTAATTTAAGAGAAATGTAGCTCAAAACACAAGGAACTAACAGTTCATGCTCATCAGAATGGCCACAATTAAAGGACGCTACCAACTGTTGGGAAGAATAAGGAAAACTTGGAATTAATGCACTACCAGCAGGAATGTAAAATGGTGTAGTTGTTCTGGAAAACAACGTTGTATTCCCTTAAAAAAAAAATTAAAGAATTACCAGTTGATATAGCAGTCCCACTTTGGTGCATATATTCAAAAGAATTCAGAGCAAGACCTCACATTTCACAACATGTTTATCAGTGTTATTCATTATAACCAAGAGGGAGAAGTGATCCAACTGTCCATCAGATAATGGATAAGGAAAAAGTGAATTATTGGTCAATGAAGAGTAGTTGTCTTAGTTTGGGTTTCTGTTGTGAAGAGTCACTATGACCACAGCAGCTCTTATAAAGGGAAACATTTCACTGGGGCTGGCTTCTAGTTCAGAGGTTTATTAGTTCATTATCATTATGGTGGGAAACATGGTAGCATACAGGCAGACATGTTGCTGGAGAGGTAGCTGAGAGTTTTACATCTTGATCTGCAGGCAGCAGAAGGAGACCGTGTGCCACACTGGGGATAGCTTGAGCATATGAGACCTCAAAGCCTGCCTCTACAGTGACATACCTCCTCCAACAAGGCCATACTTCCTAATAGTGCCAGTCCCATGGGCCGAGTATTCAAATACATGAGTCTATGGGGGGCTGTATATCTGTTCAAACCACCACTGTGGTATATGCCTGTAACCCAAGCACTCATGAAGCAGAAGCAGGAGGATTACAAATTATAGGCTACTATGGTCTACATAGTGAATTCAAGGTCATTATGGAATACATAACTAGACCTGTCTCAAACAAAATATCAAAAAAGAAAATGTGTTTAAAGATGGTTATTATGAAGCCTTCATGAGGAACTTATGTCATATGCTACAGTATGGATGAACCTTATAAGGACATATACTAAGCAAAATAGCCTAGTCACTAAGGCACAAGTATTTTTTGATTATACTAATATGAAATATCTCAAATAGACAAAAATCATAGAAACAGAATGTAGAAAGGTGATTGTCAAGTGCTAGAGTTAGGAGGAGGATGGACAGAGAATAGTGTTGTCCAAACAGACCTTGATCTTGTGATTTTCCTGTTTAGCTTCCCAAGTACCTGGAATTATAGGCTTCTGGCTTATTTTGGTAATAATGTTCTTTGGAACACAGTTTTCAATTTTGATAAATGTGAGTATTTATTTATCATGACACTAGCTATTAAAACAACTATTTTCTCATCAGATGGTCCTGAAACTTGTACCAAAAATCAACTGACTATAGATACATAATTTTATTTCAGGACTGTCAATAATATCTGTTGATCTATGCTTTGATTCTATGATAATACCAATCTGTCTTGATTACTGTTGACTTATAGTAAGGTTTGACCTGGGGATGTGTTTTAAAACTTTGTTTTATTTTTCAGAATCATGTTTTCTCCTCTAGATTCCTTAAAATTGCATATGAATTTTAGAATTATTTTGTCAATTTCTAAAAAAGAACAAACTGGGATTCTGATAGGGATCGCACTGGATCTATAGAGTATTACTGTTTGTTTTCTTTTACTCTATGGATGAGGTGTTTTTCATTTATTTAAATACTTAATTTCATAGCAGTACTTCGTAGTGTTCAGAGTATGGGTTTTGTGATTCTTTTATTAGATTCTTTTCTAGTCTTTTATTTTTGTGCTATAATGACTAGAATTATATTTTCAAGAATTTGTATATAGGACTTTAATAATTTTGTAGTCATTTACTAGCCACCATATTTTTATAGGTAGCCCAATTTTCTTATTTCAATGGTGTATATGTTTGTATTTGTGTATGTGTATGTGTATACACATATATTACATAAAACTTATATGAAGTGCCTTTTTCCCCCATTTCATGTGGTGAATATAGTCAGACTGGTAATTAGAACCACTTCTGTATTATTTTCTTTTGTATTACTGTGATAAAACAACATGATCCAGGCAACTTACAGAAAGAAGGGTTTATTTGGGCTTATGGTTCTGGAGAGATAGGAGTCCATCACCATCATGGAAAGGAAGTGTGGTAGCAGGCAGGTATAGCGACTGGAGCAAGTGTAGCAGAAGTTTTCTCCAGTCCTGCTTGGCCCATGGCCAGGACAAATCTCTCTCACCCGCCAGTCCTGCAGCCACTTAGACACAACCAAGTAAATACACAGAGACTTATATTACTTACAAACTGTATGGCCGTGGCAGGCTTCTTGTTATCTAGTTCTATCTTAAATTAACCCGTTTCTATAAATTTATACTTTACCACATGGCTCGTGGCTTACCAGTATCTTACATGTTGGTACTCATGGCAGTGGCTGGCAGCGGCTCCTGACTTAGCCTTCCACTTCCCAGAATTCTCCTCTCTCCTTGCCCCACCTGTACTTCCTGCCTGGGTACTGGCCAATCAGTGTTTTATTTATTAACCAATCAGAGCAAACACATTTAACATACAGAACATCCCACAGCAAGCAAGCTAAGAGCTTATGTCTTAAAACTGCAAGCATGAAGCATAGAGAGTGAATTGGGAATGATGTAAGTCTTTGAAACCTCAAAGCCTGCCCCCAGGGATATACTTCATCTAGCAAGGCCACAACTAAGCCTTCCCAAACAGTGCCACCACCTGAAGACCAAGTATTCAAATGCCTGAGTCTCCAGGGGACATTGTCCTTCAGACTACTACAACACGTAGGCATAGTTATATTTGCTGTATATCCTTTGTTACATATTTGTGCTAGAATTGGTTTTTATTTCATTTTCAGTTTACTTACTATAAGTATATAAAATTCAAATTGTAAACTCATATTTTTATCTTGAAACCTACCTAAGTTTTTATATTAGTTCTAATTGGTTTTTTTTTTTTATGGATTTCTTAGTAAAGGCTAGATTAGAATTCAGTTAACAACATTTAAAAGTTAAGGTAACTGTATATCTAACTGATATATCGGATACATAGATATAAATCTGGCATTGTAATATAAATCTATGAGTATATATTGACACTGCAATGATACTAAAAACCATGAGAAGAAGTGTGACATCTTGAAAGGGACTTTTGGGTGTGAGCATACTATCTAGATAGAATTGGCTCTTTGAGAAGACCATTGGTCACATCAGAGCTGTTATAATCCAGTGGGGTGGCTAAACTCCATAAAATTTGAAGAGAGAATTGGTTTGGGAATGAGTTAAAGACCAGGAAAATACATGTTTGCTACTTTAGCAACTTGACTGTGAAGAGGAACAAAGGAATGAGCCAGCACAAGAGTTTTTGAATGCTGCTGCCATGATTTGAATGGGCCAGCAATCAGGGATGAAGTGTTAATGTGCAGCTCAGAGAAACACATTCTAGTAGACTGTAAGATATGATTGCCTTCAACAATGCCAGTTTTGATGTGGAATGATTGCCCAAACATGAGGCTTTAAAATAAGTTCTTTTCACTTCACTCACTTAATGCTGATGGTGAAATCTCTAGGTTTTAGCTGGAGATGTCCATCTAATTCTTACTAGCAGCGTGAACTTCTTTAAAGAAAGAACACATACAAAAAATTGCCTATCTAGAATAGGTCATGAATATATAAGGGAACTAATGGTAGTGTGGAGAACTAAAGGGCTGTCCTTGAGGTCACGTAGCTTTGTCACATGATGGAAGAGTTCAGTCCAGATTTGTTTTGTTGTTGTTGTTGAGACAAGGTAGCCTTAACTGGCCTAGAACTCACTGTGTAGACCAGGCTGGCCTTTGAACTCTCAGAGGCCAAATGGCTTCTGTACTCTAGTGCTTGGACACTTGTTTTTAGTTTTTGAGACAGGGTACCATATAATTAGACCAGGCTGGCCTTGAACTGGTTGTGTAGCAGAGGATGACCTGGAATACCTGATCCTCCTGTCTCTATTTTTTGAGTGCTGGGACTATAAATGAAGTTTATAGCATTTTGGAAATTGAACCAAAGGCTTTGTGCATGCTAGGCAAGCTCTCTTTCATCTGACATCCAGCCCCAGCTCTGTCACATAATGGCAGAGTTAACCCAGAATCCATAGATTTTGATTCATGTCAGTCTGGTTGCTAAGCACATGTTCTATGTCTAAAGAAAAAAACAGTATTTATAAAGAAATACAAATATTTCTAAATCCTTTCAAAATCTTTTTTTCTTTTTGTTCTTTTCAGAGTCTGAATGTCATTCAGCATTTGAAAACACCACTCACTCGGTCTTCAGGTCAGCCAAGTTTTACTTCCATCATCCAGTGCACCTGCCCCATGAGCAAGATTTCTGCCATGAGTCTTTGGGAAGGAGTGTTTTCATGCAGCATTCGTGGAAGGATTTCTTTCACCATCATTCAGAGCACAGCTGCCTTCCTCCTCCTGGCCCAAGTGCAGACAAGACCAAGATGGATTATACTAGAATTAAAAGCCTCAGCATCAATTTGAATTTGGGAGACAATGAGAAGATGCATACTATCAAGAATCAGGCCAGAGACCCAAAAAGCAAAAGACAGACGAATGACCATAAAAAGGATCAGAAGGTCACCCCAGAGTTAACAACACAGTGCACCGTGAGTTTGAATGAACTCTGGAATAAGTACCAGGAGAGACAGAAACAGCAGAAACCTCCTGGCGTTTGTGATAAGAATGAACTCTCCTTGGTGGAACGACTTGATCGTTTGGCTAAACTGCTTCAGAATCCTATCACACTTTCACTCCAGGCCTCAGAAAGTACACAAGATGAAAGCAGAGGGGGGCGAGGAATGAGGGGGCGGACTGGGAGGAGGCAGCATCCGCAGAAGTGCAAGCTGCAGAGGAAGTGGCCTAAGAGTCTGGAGAACGGTCGGAGTACTGGTGACTTTAGGAAAAGCAGAGTGCTTCCTCATCACGGTGGGAAGTCCAATCAGATTAAGATTGAGCAGGTTAAGTTAGACAAATACATCTGGAGGAAACAACCAGGATTTAATTACATCAGCAATACCTCCTCGGATTCTAGACCCTCAGAGGAAAGTGAGCTCCTCACAGAGAGTCCCAACATTTTTTCCAGCACGACTTCTCCTGTGGACTCAGATGTATTGACCCAAACTGACCGGGATGTGACTTTAAATGAAAGGAGTAGCTCCATATCCACCATTGACACAGCCCGATTGGTCCAAGCTTTTGGCCATGAAAGACTGTATCTGTCACCCAGGCGAATTAAATTATACAACAGTGTCACTAATCAACAGAGGAGATATCTGGAGAAGTGGGCCAATCACAGCAAGAAGGCACTGAACACAGGCTATCCCCAAATGACTTCTGAGCACACCAGGAGGAGGCACATCCAGGTACACGGCTACAAATTCAACTGGCATTGTGACTGCCTTTTTTGTGGACTTTTTAGTTAACCTCTTCACACAGGTGGAAAAAAAGCCATTTGCCCTTTCCTCACTATAACGTTTCTTCCCAGCTGAAAAGAGTGAGAAAGTGTAGCACAGCATTATTGTTTGTTGTCATTTCTTTCCACCAACACACACTTGTCAATCACCCTTTGGATGCAGACCTTTGCACTAGATAGTTTTCGGGATCTGTGAAGTAAAAGGAAGACCCCGACCAAGGGAGCTTCAAGCTTAGCATGGCCTCTATTCGGCCCGGGAAGGGGGTTTTGTTTTTTGTTCTTTCCTCCTGTCTTCTGAGAAGTATTTGAATTGCCTTTAAACACATACACATATAATATGACATTGTTTTTAAGTAAATGAAACATTAGGATCATATAAAAATTGAAAATGGGGTAAGCCACACCATGATTTAAAAGAAATAAGATGGAAAGACAACTTAAAGCCAGAGGGCAATAAATACACCTGGTGGATGTGTTTGCCAGAAATAAGCAACAAGTTTGGTGTTACATGCTCTGGAAGATAAGTTGTGATCACTCAACATTGTATTATAAAAGCAAGTCAGAATTTCAAAATCATTAGTTATTTCAGTTACAAATACCTAAGTGAAGTTTCTTCATCTGTCTTCATAAAGAAGACATTACAAGGTAACAGACTTCCAAATCCCTCATGGTAGATGCCACAGTCGCCAGACTGTGAGGTTGCATTACTTCAATATGAGTTGGTTAAAAAAAAAAAAAAAAGAAAAGAAACAAAAAAAAAAACCGCAAGAGTCAAATTAGAGCCATATACATGATGGTGCACACTTGCTATCTCAGCATTCAGGATGCTGAAGCAAGGGGGATCATGAGTTTGAGGCCAGCCTTAGCTACTTAGCGTAAACCTGTCTCAAAAAGCAAAATCAAATCTAGAGAAGAGCTCTCCAAGGAGAGATGCTCTGTCCATTGGAATAGGGAAAATAGAATTTATATTTATTTTACTCAAGCTTTCAAGTTTTCTATTTTTGTATATTTTATAATTATATGGTTAGTGAAATAATTTATAAATAAATGCAATTTGTGCTCAAAAATATTTTGTCGGTAGGATTTCATGGCCACTGCTGGCCTATAGGGAAGGAGATAGGAGATGCTCTGTTTACCATAAGCAGTATTTCTCATGATTAAGCTTTGGGTGGATATGAAATGACACTGATCACATACATTGATTTTTTTTTTAAGTCATAAACAGACTGGAAATAACACTGGAAAGAGGGAAGAGGATTCAGGTAGAAGGTTAATGTGTGACCACGTAATACAAAGTTTACACTTTTGAGCTGAACATCATGGTATATATCTGTATTTGAGGTACTCAGGAAGCTGAGACAGGAAGATTGCTGTGAGTTGGAGGCCATCCTGAGATACTTAGTGAGACCCTATCTCAAGAGTCTAGAAAGTTTTTTTTCCCCCCTGCTTAAATAATTAAAAGACATTTGGGGCTTACATTAATCATCCATGCCCTGCCCTTTTCACCAGCCCTTGGCAGCCAGTCTTCTGCTTCTGTCTCTGGGGACTTGTCTGTTGTGGTCATTTCATAGAAACACAACTGTATAGTATGTGATTTTTTGTCAGGCTCTCCCCTGCCCCCACTCCTTTTGAGCCAAGCGCTCTACCACCAAGCTGTGGTTCCAGCCCCACATCAGGCTTACGTTTTTCCAAGACTCATCTATGTTAAAGCACAAACAGTACTTCAGATTTTCATGTTTGATACTATTCTGTTGTATGTGTCTACAACATACTGGGTTTTTATCTATGTATGCATCCAGTGATAGACAGTTGGATACTTTCATCTCTTCAGCTGTTGTGAATAGGGCTTATCCTGGATCCCTATCTGCAGTTCTTTGTGGTACACCTAAGAGTGGAATTGCCAAATCATATGGCAATTCTCTCTTCCTAAGGAGCTGCCCAACTGGTAAGACCACAGCGGCTGTCCTTTCTGCCCCTGCCAGCAGTCTTGTGAGGGCTCCTGCAGGCCGCCTCCTCTGTGGCTGCCTGGTTTTACGCTCTCACCAGTACTGTACAAGGGGTTCCATTTCAACACAGCCTTGCCAGGATTTATTTTCTCTTTTTTAATTTTATATTCTAGCTGTGCTATTGACTAGGAAGTGGTTTCTCACTGTGAATTTGATTTACATTTCTGTAGTGATTAACCATGTTGAACTTGTAGTATATGCATTTGAACCATTTGTATATCTTCTTTAGCCTTTTTTTTTTTTTTTTAAAGTCCTTTGACCTTTAGAAACTTAGCTACTTGGCTTTTTGTACTGGAGTTGTTAGACTTTTCTTTATCTTCAGTATAGTAGCTCCTTACTAAATGATATTCTGAAAGTACGGTTTGCCATTCAGTAAGCGGCCTCACACGCAGTCACTTTGTTGATGGTATCTTGTGACATAAAGCAGTTTTAATAGTGCAGCATTTACTTTTTGTTAACTGTGTTTTGGGAGTCAAATCCAAGAAATTGTTGCCAAATCTGATGTCATAAGATTTTTGTCTTTTTAGTCTAGCTTTAATATTTAGAAATTTATTTTGAGTTAATTTATATATATATATATATATGGTATTCAGAAAGGATCTATCTTCATCTTTTGGCATGTTGTGTCTAGTTCTGGCAAGATCATTTATTAGACTATTTTTTCCCATTTGTTCCTTGGCACTGTCATCAGAAATCATGTGACTGTGTGTGCACGCGTGTGTCCGTCGTCCACATTTGGATACTGTATTTTGTTTCATTGGTTTGTTTTTCCTTGTGCCAGTACCAGTTTGAATTCAGTATATCGCCATCAAAAGTTTTGTTAGAAAGAACTGTCCTGTTTTCAAGATTGTTTTGACCACTCAGAGTCCCTTAATAGCCCATACTTGTAAATATTTTATTCTTTTTGATGCTATTGTAAGTGTAATTGTTTTAATTTCATTTTTGGATTATTTGTTGGTATATAGATACATAGCTAATTTTTACATGTTGGTCTTGTACCTTAGCAGCTTTGTTAAATTGATTTGTTACCTTTCTTCTTTTTTCTCTTCTCCCCTCCCCTCCCCTCCCCTCCCCTCCCCTCCCCT